AACAATCAGGTAATGGTAACCACGTTCACTCTGTCTCTCGGCAACACTCAGGTAATGCTAACCACGTTCACTCTGTCTCTCGGCAACAATCAGGTAATGCTAACCACGTTGACTCTGTCTCTCGGCAACAATCAGGAAATGGTAACCACGTTCACTCTGTCTCTCGGCAACAATCAGGTAATAGTAACCACGTTCACTCTTTCTCTCGGCAACAATCAGGTAATGGTAACCACGTTCACTCTGTCCCTCGGCAACAATCAGGTAATGCTAACCACGTTCACTCTGTCTCTCGGCAACACTCAGGTAATGGTAACCACGTTCACTCTGTCTCTCGGCAACACTCAGGTAATGGTAACCACGTTCACTCTGTCTCTCGGCAACACTCAGGTAATAACACTCGGATAGTTTATAGTCTTGTTCTTTTCTTTTATTGATCCGCAACTTCGCTTAGACTTTCTCTCATCTCGCACTCACTGTTACTGTACTTTACTCCTACGTGCCGGAGCTCTCTCCCTGACTGTCCGCTTCCCTGTCTTGCTGAGCTCTCTCCCCGACTGTCCGCTTCCCTGTCTTGCTGAGCTCTCTCATTAGTCCTGTCTAAAGGTCCCTTTTTTTAAGTCGCTGGTTTTGTCGTTGCGTCACTAGAGATCCCCACCCCCCCCCCTAATGGCTTTAATCTTTTTCTACACCTTTGATACTAAAATTTCTTCTAACGCCTCCCGTCGTTTCAATAGCCATTAACCAACCACTACCAGCGTCCGCAATAGCGTCGTTACGGTGTTATGGCTACAACCGCTGGTCAGCCTCCGCCAGGTCCGGGCTGGTACTAAAATTTGTTCTAACGACCCCCCCCCCCCCAACCGTCGTTTATGGCCACTAACTAACCTTTGGTCAGTTCCATACTGTGAAATCCCCCTAACACCTGTACTACCCAGGTCTGAACACTCCACGATATATATATATATATATATATATATATATATATAATAACATTGTAATTGTTCTATGGACATATCCCTAGGCCCGATGAATTCCATGGATTATTCTCGAACTCCCTTGTCCTACAATCCAGCGCATCATATAAGTTATTTTATATTGCTGTTCACTTGTCTTTGGTTTGCTGAAGCAGGCTTTCTGTCGACACAGCGCCGGCCTTGGGTAAACTTTCGCCCTGTGCGAAGCACCCGTACGGTGCCCCCTTCCCTGTCCCTGAATGGTCCCGCCCTTTTTCCTATTACGACTTTCTCTCATCTCGCACTCACTCTTACTGTCCTTTACTATTACGGCTATGGCAATGGAGCACGTGTTATGATGCTATGCATGTAGCTAACCATACGCATTTTAACATGCACATTAATGTAGACTGTTAAGTTTTTCTACGGTACTTTGTTCCCTAGTTCCATTCCCACTTCACTATAATAAAGTAAGGGAATTTAAATATTTACTGGGCGCCCAAATGGCCATGGCGCCGTGTGCTAGGGCACAGGTCACCCACCCTAAAGGCCGGCGTTGGTCGATGCGTCCGTTGTTTCGTCGTTTAGATATTAGCTCTCCTGTACTAATCAATTCCGTATAACTGTTGCAGTATCCACCGCCACCGTCCCCCGCCCCATATTCCGGATGTTACAATTTTTTAATAGTCCAGCCAGCCTCCATAGCTCAGTGGTTAGAGCACTGGTCTTGTAAACCAGGGGTCATGAGTTCAATCCTCATTGGGGGCTACTATTTTGTTTAATGCTTTTATTAATATTAAAAAAAAAAAAATTAAACACGTTTACTTTAAATATTGACAGAAATAGTGTGGACACTCATGAAGTGAAACAACAGCTTGTTGTAAAAAGCAAATACGTAAATAAATAAGTTTATTATGAGAATCTGTTGTTATAGTATTTTATAGTAAGATTATGTTTGGAAATAATTACCATATTATTTTTATTATATTTTGACACATGGCAGTTAAGTATCAAACTGAAGAGGACCATACTGCCTGCAAATCTCAAGGAACATGACATAAAGAATAATTTATTTTGTTATGGTTTATTGATAAGAATAATATAAAATGAATAAAGTGTACGAGTATTGATTGAATAAGATAAATGAGTTATTTTTATATTAGGCCTATACTTCAAAATATGTATTTATTTTAAAAAAGACACACGAAGAGCCGTGCTATAGTTAGGTCTTCACAGCTGCTTTGTTTTAAAATTTATATCTTCTTCTTCTATATCTTAAGGGCCCACGATCAATTTATTGATCATTTTGGCTCCTATGCATGTAGATGGGATTTGCAATGTTTCTGTTACTGGTGGTGATGAGGAAATTATGCACTAGGGGTTTGAAG